CTACAACCCCTATACAAAAATCTTCCCAGAATGAAACCAGTTCCCAGGCCCAGCCAGTTCACACCAATGGCATTTCTTAGGGAGGTGCCAGTCTCCTCCACTTATCTCTTCCTCGCTCCTCTGGAGATGAGAGCATATTCTTTACTCCCCTCCCACCATTCCAGTCCATCACAGTTACGACTGCAACGGGAACTGCTGGGATTGCCACTAAGTGATGCAGTCATGTGACATCACATTTTACGACCGCATCGCTCAGTGATGGCAATACCAGTCCCAATTGCCATCATAACCTGAGGACTACCTGTATTTAATTGATAGGGAATGACCAATCTTCTCTAGCACCTGGTTTTTGTTTAGTAATCATATAAGCAAACAACATCCATTTCCATTGCACTTCTGTATCTTTCCAGTTTTGACCTATTGTTTGAAAGAACATAAGCTACAAAAACTAAGAAGTTTTCCCAAATCAAATTAATATTAGTATACAATCACATCATATGAATGATTTTGCATTTTAAATATTTCATTTCCAACAGTTATCTAAAGCTGCCTGCTCTAAGGCCATAATAAGGTTTACATACTTAATGAAGCCACCAATTTCTTCCTATCAACTTACATAGGTGTCCAGGAGACATGAATAACATTTGTTGAATTCTAATTTTAAATCTTCAGAAATGTGATACATGATCTTCCATGGATGTTCATATGTATTATTAATCCATGTCTTCATTCTTTAATATCTATTTCAGAGTACTGTAATACAATAAAGAATTATTGCAGGCTTATTGCTTTGTAAATAACAAGTTATTTACCAAGTCAGGCTAATGGGAACTCTGTTGTTTCCTAAACAAATGCTAAATCTGATCTATATTAGTTAAGAACTGCAAAAGTTCATTTAACTGCCCAGCAGCTGTGCTTGTTGTTGAGATGATAGGAATTATAGTCCAATGCATCTGGAAGATTTGGGAAAACTGGCCTAGTCAGTTCATAGATTTTCATGATATTTATAGAAGGAAACAGTTGAAATGCACTTTAGCTTGGTTTTTATGATTACATCTACTAAGCCATTTTAAAACTTTTTAAAACTATCAAAAAATTGATTATATATTTGTTATAAAATGAAACATGCAGTCTAGAGCCCTCAAATTATGCTATACCTCAGCCACCATAATTCTTAGCCAGCTTAGCACCTAGTTGGATGACACTACTGTAAGAATTAAAAATTATTTCAAATACTGTATAATTCCTAATTGGCATTAGCACTGACCACAATTCAGAACCCATATCATGATTTGAGAGTCCAGCCACAAATAACAGATTAGATTAGAATGGTTGGCCTGCTTGTGTTCCTTCCATCTCGTGCCTCAAATCTATACATCCTTTCCCACTGTAAAAACGCTGTGCTGTATTCAGTGAATGAACAAGACATCAGACTAGTCATTTCCACTCCTGCCATTTTTGGACCACAGCCAAGTCCCTTATTCCACTCAGAAACAATTCTGTGCATTCAGCCAACACAGCATTGGGTCTTAAATTCATGCTGTGTGAGCATACGGTTCCTCCATGCAGGGTAGAACCTATCCTAAAATGTGCACAGAACTTCTCTATGTTAGTCATGTTCTTTCAATACACGAAGGGCTCTCCTAAAAATTTAATTACAATTTCCCCATGATTTGAAAAAATGGGATACATCTTTTTTTCTAACCTAGTTGATCCGCATGATGCTGAGGCAGTCCTTTGAAGTTCTGAAAAGAAATGAATGGAATGAAAGGTAGGCCATACCTGATGTTTGTATGTATCTGATTTCACATTGTGCCAGGCTTGTATGATTTTGACATTATCAGTATATATGAATTCACCATTGTGTTAGTAAGTCATGTTTTATGGTGTAACAAGATTTGTAAACATGGCTTAGCATGATAGATAGGTGTATTGATTTCTGTGATGTGAATATTTATATGCTTAGCTACCAAACATAGCATTTCATCTATTAAAAATACACTATTCTAGTCTACCCAGTGATTACAGACCTTTGAATAAAATGCTCTTGATTATAAGCATTTTACTATTCTTTACTATTTGATTTTCGTGAAGGTAAGGCAGAGTTAAGGTATAGCAGAGCAAAAAGAAGGAACACTGGAAGTAGTAAAATTGGTTAGATTCACTTATTCCCATATTTGCCACTTTAGACTACCGCTTTCGGTCATAAGAAAGCATCATTTGTGACTGGGGTAGGCAGTGATCCCCTTAGGTTTTTTTTCTTTTGGCCTCTGTAGTCCCAAGATCATGCTGGTGATGTTTGACACAAATTATGGAGGTATGATTTCCCACTGGTTTGGGGAGTGTTGCCCTTCTTTGTATGTAATGCTGTGAAACAGGGAGGGAAAAAAACCCCCCAAGAAGTATAATGCAATAGAGGCAAACCTCATTGTTGCAGAATTGAAATAACAGTGAAACTAAAGGTTGGTTTATAAATAAAAATGGCTTAGTGGTTTGATTTGCATTATTGTTTAAAAAAACCTGTGATAAAGGTTTGTAGGCATGTTAATTTCACTTGCTTTTTAAATTGCTTTTTTTTCTTACTAATTTAAATTGCTTTTATTTAAACCAGTTTGTCATTGTTTAAACTTTGACCCTCACTCTGTATACTCCACATGTCTGACCATATAGGATATGAAACCTATGTAAATTAAGAGCTTTTGTTAATATTATATCAGAACTGTGTGGGCATTCCCTTTATATGACAGCCCACTGAAGACTATAAACATTTTTTTCTGTTGTTGGGGCCCTAGCAGTGCAGTGATGCCTACTTACTTAAAAGGAAGGCGTGTTGTTTTAATTGGACCTCTAGATAAGTGAACACAGGACAGCAGCTTACTCTGGAAATATTAAACTTCCATATTGCTGTGGAGAAACAATCTTTGGCATACTTTACTTGATCATTCAGTACAAGCCAATGGCAGCTTCTTTTGGGGCAGAAAATCTACATGAAGTTTATTTTAACTGAGTGTACTATGAGCATCAACCATCTGCTCATTGATTTAATCTCATCTAATCTACAGGCTCTGAATCCTCCCATTACTCTTATACTGCCCTTCTATACCAAAGACACAAAACTGAAACCAAGCTGGGAAGTTGCGTTAATTGTGCCATTAAAATGAGCAGCTGCATATTTTTATAAAATATGGTAGCTCTTCAATTTTAATTAAATTACAGATCCTGCTCAGTGAAACTGATACAAGATACGGGAGTGCTTTTTAAAATGAAATATTAAAATCAGATCTTCTCAGCTAATTATTTTTAAAAAGTGTATATACTAGTGAGGAATTTGAATCCTGTTTCAGGGTCTGGCATGTACACATCTCTGTTCTTGTTCTTATATTACATGAAGATGAAACTGTCTGGTCCATGCTTTGCCAAATGTATTTACGTGGGAAGGATTCTTTTGGACCTGACAAAAGATCATATGATGTAATGCAACTGAATGGGCTATGCCACTTACTTTTTTTTTTTTTTTTTTTACATTCTTTTCCAGTTTAATTGAACCGTTTCTCAACATGTTAATGACGGAAGTTATGCACCCAGACAGCCATGCTCCCATTGGTATTAAATTGCATTTCATTGATATCTATCTGGAAGAACTGGCTAAAGTTGGAGCTAAAGAGGTCAGAAGCAAATTGTACTTACATGAAATTCAGGCTTCCCCAAGCTAGCACCCTCCATATGTATATATCCATCTTACCCATCCCCAGTTAGTCTGGCAAATGCCAGCTGGGAGTAATAGGAGCCTTAATCAAATACATCTGGAAAACACCAGGTTAGGGGAAGATTATTACACTTTACATCAAACTTCTTTATAAAATATATTGAAATTAGTGGTGTCATATTTTTACTATGTAATGATCTAAAGCTCAGTTTATTTTGTGAACAACAGTGCCCTGATTTCCTTGACTGTAATACTATACAGTATTTTGGTTGAAATTTCAAGGGTTGGCTTATCTGTGGTTATATATGGCAATCTTTAAAATGTATATTATATGTGTATTATAGAGCTACACTATTAATTTAACCAAATCATCCTTATTTAGGGCATCTTATGAATAATCAATATTTTTCCTCTTTACTGATAATCTGTAAGAAACTATATATTTGATAGATTCTCAGCCTATTTGTCACAATAAATCTCATATAGTAGCCTACAAATATAAACATAAAAATATTATCAAATCCTAAAAATAATATTCTATCCACAGGTCACCTTAAATAAGATCAAATAAACACAATAAGCACAAATAAAACAACACTGTACTAAAACTTTAATTTTAGTATATCCAGAAATAGATTAGAAAATATCTAAACGATGCAGAAAGTGCTTTGTACTTTCTATCTATACAGTATATAGAATAAACTGCAGTCGTGCAAGGAGTGATGGTAATAGTGATGTCTTTTCCATCTTTCTGGTTTTCAACTGTTTATATTAGAAATAGTACAAAATCATTGTGTTACTGATTATGTCAATACCAGTAAATGCTGAAATAACTATTGTACAGATTAAGAACTGCTCAAAATTCTGAAAGCATTTCAGTTGATTATGTAATAATTCCCAAATAAACTCTACCTATTCTCATTACTTCCTTTTTCTGGAATCAGTTATTTCAGTTTCAGGTAGCTCTTGATAATCAGATTTTGGGCAATGATTTTAGAACAGATTGATCATAGTTATGTTGAACTAATTTTTGTATTTTATATTTGCAGCTCACAGCAGACCAGAATATCAAGTTTGTTGAACCATTCTGCAAATTCATTGCCAGGACCAAAGAGTATGTTCATATCTTGACTTAATAATTATATTAACCCTATGTATTTTTAGAAATAGTAAATAAATGTCTGAATGGTGGTGCAGAACAAAAGCAAAGGCTACTGGGAAGGGACATAGCATGCTCACTATGAGACAAATATAGGACTTTTTTTAAACATGTCTGAAAATAAAAGTATGCATAACTGTAGCAACCACATCCATTTCTTTGTAGTGATTATAGAAATGTTTGTTCTTGATTCTCCTGCACACACATCAAAAAATTAGAGAAAATATTGGATTCATGTGATTGTCAGTTTTTCCTGTCTTTTTTTCTGAATGACTCAGAACTCATTTATGAGTTAGGCTACAAAGAGGATCCATTAACCACATGCCTTAATAATCTTTTTCCCCCACCCATCTTTTCACTGTTCAGTCATCTTATGTTACAAGCCATAATCTGTGGTATCTTTGAAACCATTGTGGATCAGTCCCCATTTGCCATAGAAGATTTAATGAAAGAACTAGAAACCAGCAGTGATGTTGACAGTTCATCAGAAGATGAAAAATGGAGTGATGAAGAAGATAAAGAAATGGCCAGAGGTAAGGATCTGGTCTCTCCGATGCTTGCTTTGGAAACCTCTAGAAAAATTAGTCCATTGTCTTCTGCACAGAGCTTCCTTTTAGCACCATACAGAAACTCCTGTGAATCTAGAAGGCACCAGTTGTCAGCCCTCCCAGGTAAACCAGACAGGAAACACGACTAGATGAACTAATTTTGCTTTATTGTAAGTCTACATTAACTGAATCTTGCAAGTCTGAAAGTACAAATCTCCCGCCCTCCCTATTTACTGCCTGAGTAGTTATGGTGGTTCCTTCCTAAGTTTCTTTCTCTGGCTGTTACTCTGTTGCAGACTCCTTTCTTCTTTT